CCCACCCCCGCCGTTCCCCCCGCCTGTAGTTTGCAAAGTCACAATATGAAATGTTATGAAATCGCCTCTTGGGAAGGAGAGAAACAGAAAGCAAGGCGTTTGCTTAGAAAAATCCGCGGCAGCCTCTCAGATGTGCCTAAAAAGCTGCCTTTGACCCCCCTGTTGCACTTCCAGGGAAGAGGCAAATCTGGGCTTAAAATCATGAGTCAAAATCAACAAAAACAAACCCGTCCCCGGTTAGTTTTTTCCACTGACTTCAGTAGGCGCAGGATCAGTGCAAAGGGAGGCTGGGGACAGATGGATGCGGCTCAGACATTGGTCTGACATCTCTGTCTTGGGCCAAATTGCTGCTTGTGCCCGTGGAAGTGTCTGCAGGGCCAGGTTTGCGATCAGGCCCTTGTTCGATCTGGGAATCTTATTGATTCCTCTCCTGAGCATTTAAATGCTTTAAAAATTATTATTTGCTGTACTGTTTCAAGAATTTAGAGGATGAGAGCTTTAGGAACAAATACAAGCTCTTTCCCCCAGTCCTTGAGTGGGTTACAGTTCAAAAATTGCTCTAAAAATATTTTAGGGGAATCCTCTGTTTATATATGCACAGAGAAGCAGAACCAGAGACTCTGTTATTTTCTCCTAAGGGTAGGATTGCAGGTTTAAAAACTTGCATTATAGATGGCAAGCATTTTGCCCCGTGAAACATAACATAATGGCCCGTGAAGCCATTAAAATATTCAGAGGGTATCTAGAAATTTTCCAGAAAAATGGATTATTATATTGTTCCAGTAAGAAAAGAGTTCATCTCTTGGTGTTCAATTTTGATTGGCAAAGCAGATCAAAGATCTCTTGAGAGACATTTCAATTCCAATTTCCAATCCCCCTCAGTTTTGACTGTCTGAGTCAATATTGGGAGAGGAAGTGGAGGTTAACTGGTTAGTTATTATTGTGAAGGAAGAAGTTGGAATGAGAAGTGATTCTTACAAATCCCACCCCAAAAAACAAAGCAAAAAAAAAATCTGTCAAAAAGCTTTGTGACACTTTTTAGACATCCCTGTTTGCAGTGCAGGGAGGTTTCAGCCGGCTGTCGGATGGCACAAAAATAAACCTAACAGAAACATTAAGTTTTTCAAAACAAGGCTGGAAAAGCTCATAAAAATAATGTTGCTCAGATGCGTTTTAAAAGAAACAGAATTACATCGACAAAATTATATGTTTTCCAGGTTTGGTTGGGGTGTTTTATTTTCCAAGGGGAAAAATTGCTCCTGCAGCGAAGCGAGTTGGTGCCATCTAGTGTCACCTCCCGCCGCTCCGCGGGCTGGCGGGGCCGGCAGCCTCGGGAGAGTGGGAACGTGTTTATTAACTGCTCGTTAAAAAAAGAAAAAAAAAATGCTTGCCAGCTTGGAGGAAGGTGGCAGAGGAAACTCTGGATGCCACTGAACTTACTTAAGGAGTCTAATTGGAAACAACCGAGTGCTTATTAAAGTCACTGACATTTCCATATGGAGTTCTCTCTGGGTCTGGTCATGAAATCACATGTGAAAATCTTTCCGGGTTGTGGTGTTAATCTGCCCTTGAATTTTTGCCTAATTTAGGATGTATTGTAAAGCTATGTTTTTTTCTGTTTTCTTTTATTTCTTTTATTTCTTTTTTTTCCTTGGGCAGGGAAAGCTTTCAGTGTCCAACTGCAGCAGCCCAATATGATTTTGCAGGAATAGTGTTTGGGTTTGCAGCACATTTTTTTCCTTAGTAAACAGTAATGTTATCCTCAAAACCCCATCAAGTACAGGTGTTGAAACTTTGTGTGCCAGTCCTATGTGGTAGGACTGTCCTTTCACTTTATTTCTCCGTGAAAAATAAAAACTTTTTACAAAGCCTATGGATGAATAGAATTAAGCTCTAATCAGTAGGTGCATTTCTCAGTGTGGAACTTATGTACCTTCATATATTTATGATGTTAAGAACAGTTTCATGCCTGGCTTAGTCTGTATGCTGTAATACCTGGGCTGGGAATTTCACTCAAAGAGTTTTTACTGGTTCAGCTGGAGCCTGAAATGTTGTTTTCATTTTTCTGAGAAGTTGGTAAAATCTAAATTTGGTGGAAGGTTGCCTGTGTGCTCATAACCTCTTGCTCCATTTTATAGTAGCATGGGAGTCTATAAACGGGAGCCTTGTATGCTGAGTGCCTGTATTCTTCTCTAGATCTATTTTTAAACCATTCTTCTGTTTGGCAAAAAGTGACACTTGGTTTCCATGTTTACAGCAGGCATTGGCAAACCTCAGGAGTTCACAGTTTGCAGTTTGGTTAGATCAGTATCCAAAAGTCAGCATCTGACCAGTAAGCTCCTTCAGACTGCAAATTTAGGCTGCAAATGTAGTCCTCCTTTTGCCTTTGTTTTTTTTTTTTTTTTCTTTTGGTTTGGTTTTGTTTTTTCTTTTCCTTTTTAAAATCCAAGCTAGATCTTATGTGTTAGCATCACTGCAGGATGGTGGCAGCCAAAAGACACACACCCCTAAACTGGAGCAAGTGTGTAGTCTTCAGGACTGCTTTAAAACCCCAGTAATCTCAGAGGAGCTTCCTGTCTAAACCAGAGACAGAATTTAGAGGCGTTTGGGAGAGGGATAGGAAACTTTGATCTGTATTGTTTTCCTTTCCCTCTTTCTCCTGGTCACTTGCTGCCTTTGGGCTGTATGCTGGGTATCCATGGGGCATGTCGGACCCCTTTTTATGGAGGAGAGAGCTTGAGACAAGCACGCTGCAGGACGGGGGGTTCTGAATGCGTCCTGAAGAAGGTGTCCTGTAGGACTAGGTACTCTTTGAAATTCACCTTCTTAAATCTGTTTGGCTAAATATAGGGACAAGGGGGTGTCTCTGCCCTGGCCAAGGCACCCCAAGCTGTGCATGTGTCTCATCCCATCCAGGCGGGATGCCAGAGCAGTCCCTTACTGCCAGAAGGAGCTGTGCCACCCTCAGCCCCAGGAGTACAGAGACAGGGAGGGTCAGGTGCCAGCTGGTAATTTTCTGTCCCAGTGCAGGGTAGGGATGATCAGACACCTCTTTGGAGCCCAGTGGGGCCAGGGATCCAGCTCAGCTGCTGGGGCACCCGACTCCAGCTGCACCCTGCTCTCGCGTCGGCATCTCGGCACAGGGTTTCGTGTTGGCAGGGCACGGAGTCCATCTTCTGTTCTCTGGAGTAGCTCCCTAGATTTCAGCCAGGACACATGGCTCCTGCCTTCCCTTGAAAAATTAATGTGCCAGATTGCTTAGGGTCATTGGAAATGCTGAGGAAGGCTCGACTCCTTGCTTCCCAAGGGCACGCACTGCCTCTGCCTCACAGCCAGAGCTTGGCTCCGGAGAGGGCAGGGGAGTCCTCTTTAGTAAGAAAACATTGGAGGCAGTTTTAGCATGCTTACCCCCTCCCTCCTCTGCATTTTTTTCTGCAAAGACCAAAACAATGTGAGACTTGAGCTGGGCCAGCTTTCAAGGGCAATCCTTTAAACCCTCTTTTGAAGTATGAACTATAAAGTTCCCTGCGGCGCTCGAGAAAATATGCAGCTTTCCTGGTTCCAAATGCTGATAATAAACCCGTCCAGATAATGCATTGCATTTCCTAGAAACATTTGTTTGCTGGCAGGAAATTGGATCAGATTGAGACCGCTCGATAGAGCGAGTGCGATCTGCTCACGGAAGGGTACGGTGGAAAATACGACAGGGCTTGCACTGGTGATGCTGCTTTTGATCTGTGCTGACGCTGTGGACTTCTCTCAGTCTCTTCTGGGTTATTATTAACCCAGCCACGTTTTGGCCTAGACACTGACCAGAAGCTACTAAACTAATAAAATTGCTGTGACAACTAAAGGACACTTGGTGCCCCTGGATTGCATGGTATCAGAAAGCTGAGCTGGGCAGTCACATACCCACAGCCAAAAGCATCTTCTTCACCATGGCCTGTCCTGTAGCACTCATGGCTTTGCTGAGGGAGCCACCCACACACCACCTCAATTTCTTGGTTGTCCCCCTGATCCCTGTTCAGGAGAAACCAGGCATTCCTTGGTAGGGTGGAGAGGCAGCTGGCAGCATGCCCTGGCAGGCAGCAGGGATGTTCCCATGGGGCTGGGACCCTACTGGGGAGGAGGAGGGCAGGATGGAGTTTCCCCTGGGCGGGCAGTTTCAGAACACTGTGTGGGATGAGCCTGTGGGGAAGGAAGACTTCACCCAGCCACCCCTCTAAGGTGATGCGAGTGAGTCGGCGCTGCAGGCTCTGGAGGGGTAGGAGATTGGGGCCCAGGGAAGGGGAGTGTTCGATGCCCTTCTCCCTGCCTGTGCGACTGGGGGTGGGAGAAGGGTTAAGATCACGGGGTATCACCATGCAAAGAAGGATAGGGGAGCAAGGAGCTACCCCCTGTGCACAGAGTGGGAGGAGGATGAATAAGAAGGGATTCCCTCTAACTGGGAGAGTAGATCAATGGAGAGGCATGGCAGAAAAATGGATTGGAAGTCCCTGCTTCTCCCCTCTGCCCTAGGGTAAGTGAGCAAAGAGGGTCTCCCCTTTGCATGGGGTTGAGCTGAAAGAGGTGCCCCCACATGAAGGTGCACCCTCCCTGTGCTCACAGAGCTGCAGGGAAGGCAGAGCCAGCTCTGGCTCCTTTCCAGGAATGGGTTTTCTCGGGGAGGTGCCGGCAGGGAAGGGCTGTTCCCTGAACCACTGGGGCAGACCCATTGCCTTCCTGGAAGGCAACAGCAGTGACTGTCCCGTGTGGCCACCCCCAAAATGGGCACTGTGCCTATTCCAGACCTTCCTCTGCAGGCACAGCCAGCCCTGGCACACAGCCTCGAGTGCTGCCAGAGAGCCCCCACCTGCAAGGTACTGGACAGGAAGGCTGGAGGGGAGGGGGGGGTGCGGTGTGAGATGATGCTCGGGTCCCAGCTGAGCCTGGAGGAGCCTCATGGGATTTTAGGGGGGTTTAGATAGCAAAGACCATGATTGACTGCAGTGTTTTTTTCTGCTCCCATCACTGGTCTCTGGTCCTTGTCGCCACCCCATTCTCTCTGGTCTCTCATCTGAGTATCCTCCCGTGCTAGGGTACAGAGCTAGTGCTGTGTGGGAGCTGGAAGGGGCAGGGTTAATCCAGCTCAGCACAGTGAGAGGAAGGAAAGTCCCTTTCCCTTTGCATGCCCACATCCTGCAGCCAGGAGCTGCTTGGGATGCACCTGCCCAGCTCCTGGGGCTGTGGATGTTGCAGCAGCACTGTGCTGGGAGGGATAATTTGGAAGGGTGGGGAAGGGGGCTGTGCTGGGGTCCAGCTCTGGGAGAGAAGCTGGGTGTCCCCCTGGCAGTGCTGTGCCCTTGCTCTGGATAAGGGGATTTGGCGACAGTAGCAGCTTCTCGCATGATGCTCAGGGGTACAGAGTTCATCTGGCTGTTTGTTACTTTTTTGGTTTACAAGTGGGTCACCTCCTCACCTCTGTGACACTGAGGTGACTCCCCAGAGCCTGGCAGAGTATGTCTGCCACTGTGGCTGATACTGAGCTGCCCCAAGCACACACATGTGGGCATAGGGATGTAGGCTGGGCTCCTTGCAGAGTGCTGCGGGTCGCTTGGCTTGCAATTGGCAGTAGTGAGTGGCTGGCAGTGAGCTTGTATGGAAAGGTCAGAGTCTGCAGTATTTGGGAAATGAGTCACTTTTTGTATGTGCATAAAGTTTTAAGCTGGCCGGGCTCAGAGCAGCTCTGAAGATTTGTGTTCAATGGCTGGAATAAGCTGTAAGGTTTTGTGCATGATACCTTGCCTTAAATCTCATCTCTTCAACCCAGTGGCTCTGGGGATGGGAGGGGATCTTGCGCTGCAGACCTGCACATCTCCTGCAAGGGAGAGGGGAGGAAATGCTTGACGATCCCTTGTCTCACAGGGATTATTTGGCTTCCTGCAGTCTTAACAGTTTAGGGGTTGGTCCACAAAATACTTGCAATGAAGGTCTTGGGGTTTGTTGGCTCACTTATTCATTGTGCTGTTACCTGCTGAGGCAACTCTCTGAGGACCTTCTTCCTGCATTGGTGCCAATTCAATTTGGTTTGTTTTAAGTGCATTTTGGAGGATTAGTATGAGTTGTAGAAGGCAATTGACTCCTGGGTTTCCTTGCTGTTCTGTCCCAGCTACATTGCTAGGTGAAACCAGTGCCTGGAGACACAGCTTGTGGTTTAAGGGAAGGCTTTGGCAGCAGCAAGGGGAATGGGTATTTGTTCTGCATCCTTATTGTCTCTACCACTGGCTTCCTATGCAGTCCTGGCCAAGTCACGTTGGTACTTGACACCTATATCATCCCAGATCTGTTGAGCAATCCCATCCCAGGGCGTTTTCACCATTGGCTGGAGCATGTGGGTTTCTCAGTAGAGTGGCAGCAGATGTTTGTGTGTACATCATACCTGTTAACAAGGTGCTGGGAGTATGGCACGGATCTTGAATGTGGCACTGGACAGGAATTCAGTCTTGGCAGGGGAAGAGTTATCTCCGAAAGAAGTAGTGAGAAAATTCTCGCTTGACTTCCCTTCCCCACCTGCCTTTAAGTTCCTGAGTCATGGAAATGAAAATCTCCTTGGCATACGCCCATGGTTTGGGCTAGAGGGTGTGGAAGAAGCTATGATTGGATTCTCAAAGGCTGTGATTGTGATAAGAACGTACTGTACCGGAAGAAACAAATGTTAACCTTACTGGAGAGTAGAAGGCTTGTTATCTCCAGCTTTTATCCAACTGATACTCGAGCAAAATAGCAGTCTTGTGACCTGCCATGGCCAATTCATATTTACCAGCTAATGTGGTGTTTGTTTTCTTGTGATTTATTTGTAGGTTTAAAAGAAACTTTTGGACTGTGAATTGAGGCATTGGGTATGTAAATTTAAATTTTGTGTTTTTTCTTCTGTCTCCCCTTTTCCTTAATGCAATGTTTCATTAGATCCAGCTGGAATTTGTTTTTGAGAGAGCAGCTGCTGTATAGAAACTATTGTATGTTCACATGCCACTGGGAAAGGAGGAGTCAGGATTATGGAAGGGGGTTGATCATTGAAGAATTTAACACCAGAGACACACATTCCATCCCAAACCTCAGGGAGACATGGGCCATCCTGGGTACTGCTTGGGAGGATGCCTCTGAGCTGTGTCAACAGGTGGTGTGTTGAGAGAAGGCTTCATGTTCCTCGACTAACCCAAACTTTGCCCATGACTGTGGTGTGGGTAGCAGCCCAGCAGGTTGGAGGAGTTCTATTCCTCACCAGTTAATTGGGAAACTGTGGGCAGGTCTTCTCCAGAGTGACCACCACTTGGGAGCAGGAAAGTAGTTTCCTGGGTGAGGGTTGGTATTCCATGTGGGCTGGATTTTCCAGATGTTGAAATCATTCAACTTCAGTTGGGACCTTAAGGCTTGTTTTGATTCCTGTGGCTGGATTTACAGCCAGACATCACACAGGTGAGGAGGATGGCTCCTGAGGGAGTTTGGAAGGCTGGAAGCTTCTAATGTTGGAAACATTATGGAGATAAACCTGAGTGGGTGGAGTGGACTGGGGTGGGGTTGCCATGGGTGAGGCAGGGAGAAAGAGGAGATGGTTGGCTAATCATCAGGAGGGTCTGATTGCCTTCACCCACCAGCTTGATGGATGGGATGAGACGTGCCAGGTCTCGCTATCAGGAGACCAGGAACTTCACTAGGCAGCCTGGCAAAAGCTCAGTGTGATGCAGGACTGTTTACCTTGGGACCAAGGAGCTGGTGCTGCCTCTACCAGGAGCAATTGGCCATCTGAGCATGTCCCAGAGCAGCAGCCATCTCTTCCCCAGGTTTAGGGTACTTGCCTGGTTGTTCTCCATTCTCATGTCCCTCTGATGCTTGTCTCACAGACTCAAGATGGCCTCGCCGGCAGACAGCTGCATCCAGTTCACCCGCCACGCCAGCGACGTCCTCCTCAATCTCAACCGCCTTAGAAGCCGCGATATCTTGACCGATGTTGTCATCATTGTGAACCGGGAGCAGTTTAGAGCCCACAAAACAGTCCTGATGGCCTGCAGGTGAGAACAGGGTCCTTCCCTGCCTCCCTCCTTGCTCCTTCAGCCTTTGGCCTCCAGAATCACTGCTGCAGTCCTGTGGGGGCTCGTGGGAGTCAAGGGAATTAGAGGCAGAGAAATAGAACTGAAAGGGACTGCCAAGAAATTTGTACCTGTAATGGGATTAAAGCTGAAACCACTTCCCTCCAGTGTGCTGTCCTCACCTCACTCTTTGTGTACCCATATCTGCCCACACACAGCCCATGGAGACCAACAGGAGCACAGCAGCTGTGAGGCACATCCCTGAAGGCAAAGCACAAATGTGCCACAGGGACATAGGAGAGGAGAGGGAGGGCTGGATGTTCACTAGGGTGAGTGAGTCTTCTGTGATAGAAGTATCCCCTGCCAATGCTATTTTTAGAGCTATTCCTCCCTGGCTCCCAGACTGCTGGCTGCACCCACCTTAGTTTATTCATTTAATTTTTATTTTTTTTTAAAGCCTGATGGGGTCTGAAATCCCTTTCCAGCTCCTAAGATTGCTGGAGTTGCTTCCCAATTAATGCTAATTAATATCCCACTATTGAATTACAGCAAATGCATTCCAGGTTCTCTTGCTGACATGGTGTAGAGATTTCAGAATGCCAAGCTTTGATTATTAAAGTGTCTCAAAAATGTTTTGCCAACATTTCTCCTTTTTTTTGGTTTTCTGGTTTAGAACTATGTGATGCCCCAAGAGGCTTCTGAAAGAAATGAGTCATAGTGGGAGGGGCATGGTGGTAAGAACAACAATGAAAAAAAACCAAAAAAGCTGGGGAATTACTAAATGGAGATAGTGAGGAGTTGTTGAGCAGGTGAGATCTAAAAGCAGGCTGTTCCAGTTGGGAAAAGTGCAGTGCAGAAGGTGCTTACTAAGCTGAGAAACCAAGCTTGATAATAAGGGGGAAGCCCAGGGAATTTTATAATTGCCTTCTCCTCCTCCCTTCCCATTCAAGAACCCCCTCTGTTCTCAGGGATTTCATACAAATTCTTTTTTTTTTTTCCCTTTGAATTGTCATAACACTTGTCCTCTCTACTTCTCCCCTCTGCAGTGGCCTCTTCTACAGCATTTTCACTGACCAGCTCAAGTGCAACTTGAATGTTATCAACCTGGATCCTGAAATTAACCCTGAGGGGTTTTGCATCCTCTTGGACTTCATGTACACCTCCCGCCTGAACTTGAGGGAGAACAATATCATGGCTGTGATGGCCACAGCACTCTACTTGCAGATGGAGCATGTGGTTGACACCTGCCGAAGGTTTGTCAAGTCTAGGTGAGTGCAGTTGGTGAGCTTTGAAGAGCCTGGGACTGTGTGTTTGGGTGAGCAGGGGAAAAACTGACAAAGTATCTGCAAATGTATCTTTTAACGGCTGAAAATGACTTTGTCTCCCTCCTGAACAATTACTTTGTTTTCCCCAATTCCAGTGAAGCAGAGATGGTGTCTGCTGTGAAGACCCCGAGGGAGGAGTTTTTGGCTGGACGGATGCTGGGCCACCCAGAGGTGATGGCTTATCGGAGCAGAGATGTCTCAGAGAACGGCATGCCTCTTCAAAACGGGTCCCTCTGCAATGGGAGGGCCTTTGCACCTGGCTTGATCAACAGTTTGTCTGGATCCCCCATTTCCTACCATGGATACAGCCCTCTCCCTCTAAATAGCTTCCTAGTGGATGATGAGTTGCGGGAGATGAGGATGCCTCTCTCTGAACTCTCAAGGGCAGGTGCCTTCCCCAAGGAGAGGATCCTGCCGTGCGACAGCTCCAGGACAATCCCCACTGAGTACGTGAGAACCATTACCGACATCTCTGCCAACATGTGCCATGCTACCATCTATGCTCCAAAGGAAGGTGCTGCTGAAGAAGCCAGGAGTGACATGCACTACAGCGTGGCTTCTGGGCCCAAACCTGTCATTCCATCAGTCCGGAACAATCCCTACTTCCCTTGTGATAAAGTGGCCAAAGAGGAGGAGCGGACCTCTTCAGAGGACGAGATCAGCCAGCACTTTGAGCCCACCAACACACCCCTGGACCGCAAGGGACTCATCAGCCCTCAGAGCCCGCAGAAATCAGACTGCCAGCCCAACTCACCAACTGAGTCCAGCAGCAGCAAGAACGCCCGCATCGGTCAGAACTCCAGCTCCCTCTTCACCAAGAGCCCCACAGACCCCAAAGCCTGCAACTGGAAGAAGTACAAGTTTATTGTCCTCAACTCTCTCAACCAGAACACCAAGCAAGACAGCACTGACCAGAACGAGATGGGAACCCTCTCTCCTCGCACCTATGTGCCCATGTCCACTTGCCAGCAGTCCATGGAGCCAGAGCATCTCAATGTGCAATCCCCCACCAAGATAAGTGTGAATGGTGAAGACTCTACAATTCCACAAGCGAGCAGACTCAACAATATTGTTAACAGGTGAGAAGATTTCCACCCCCTATGCTCCCCTCCCTGAGAAACAGGACTTCCTGCATTGCTGGTAGGGGTTTTGAAGTGTGAAATATTTGTAGCATTGGACTGGGAAGTCCAGTCATGAGCAGATGGAATCCCAGGCATTTGGTAGAGGGCTGCCGGTGACATTGAGTGCCCACTGTCCCCACAGCACTGGAGCCAGTGTGGACTGGCAGAGGAACTGGGAATGTTGGGTTGTGAATCCCTGGGTAACTTTGGCAGCTCTGGATGATTTCTGGAGCCTGGATTTGCCTGGCCTGTTTCCACCAGACTCTCTATGCCTCAAGTTTTTTGTTGGCTGTAAGCATTGGAATGGCCAAAGTATCAGAGAACAATATGCCATCCTGTGGACCTGGATGTTCCTAAAGACATTTGAGGTCATTTGATGATGGACATCTGGAGGTTTGAAGCTTAAGGGTCTGTTGTTGATCAGGGCTGTGCTGTGCAGCTCACCACAAAGATGTCCCCATAAAACGTGTCTGTCCCTTGTGTTGGGAGGGGTGCAAACACCCTCGGTATCTCGAGCACAGCAAGGGCCTTCTCACAGCTGTCTATGTTCCTCCTTCCACAGGTCCCGGGATGGGTCCCCTCGGAGCAGCGAAGGGCAGTCCCCACTGTACATGCATTCATCGAAGTGCAGCTCCTGTGGCTGCCAGTCCCCACAACATACTGAGATGTGCCTTCATACCCCTGGCTCAAACTTTGGAGAAGAGATGGGGGAAACCCAGTCTGAATACTCTGACTCCAGCTGCGGTGAGTCTTGCATCCTTGGTTGTCTTTTTCAACCAGCAATTAGGGGGCTGTGCAATGTAGGGACCCATCACTGACTGCCCTGTGACCAAACACAGTCAGACCTGTCCCAGATGCTGGTGGATCCCACAGCCCCCTCTTAACTGTCTGCCCAGCTCTCTGCATGCATATGAGGCACACATGCACATAGGAATTGCTGCCTTCCTCCCCTTCCCCAGCACCATCCAGATACCTTGTGCAGGGAGGTAGTCACCTGCTGCAAATATGGCAGGTAAGGACAGGAAACAAGTGCACCCCACCCCACCAGAACCACAGCAGAACAAGCCTGACAGATGTAATGACCCATAATGGGGATTGGGCAAGCTGGCATGTCTCATGCATCCGTCATGATATTTTTGTTATCAGGGAGCCCAGTGTGCACATCTGGGGAAATGCAGATAATGAGGCTTGCAATCTTGTTACAAAACCCCACAAGCCCAAAGACAGGTATCTGGGCACTCATCTGCCTGTAGCTCAGGAAGGGGGAATGCAGCATTGCCACCTGTAGTGTGGGCAGAGATCCAAGAAGGGAACCTCACTGTGGTAACACTCAACACAACGTTTAAGAGTTGGGCATCATCCTGCTGGGGGAGCCTGCCTTGTGATTTGGGTGATGATCATCTTCCTAAGCTCAAGGCAGACCTCTGTACCTGTAAAGGTTAAAAGACCCCTGAAGGTGCAGGAGTTGGTCCAGAGCTGAGCAACCTTCAGAGAATGCTTGATATCTTGAGTGCCTTCCCTCTCTGGAAGATGTCCAGGTGGTAGCCTGGCATCTTGTAAGCAGCCTGTGTGTCACTAAAGGAGAGAGAAAGCTTTAAACTAGAGCTTGTGGTGACTTTGCTCTCAAGCCATGCATGTTGTTGCTGTGTGCACAAGGCCAGGAGGTAACAGCACAGTGCAAGTACAGCTGAACGTGAACAGCTGTACTTGGCTGCTGGTTCCAACACTTGCTCTGACTGTCCCTCTCCTCCCTCCCAAATCCATCCCACAGCCTATCAAGAAAGTGACCCATGCACTGACCATCTGATTGCTCCTCTCTCTGCCCTCCCAGAGAACGGAGCCTTCTTCTGCAACGAGTGTGACTGCCGGTTCTCTGAGGAGGCGTCTCTCAAGAGACATTCTCTGCAAGTCCACAGTGACAAGCCCTACAAGTGTGACCGCTGCCAGGCCTCCTTTCGCTACAAGGGGAACCTCGCCAGCCACAAAACCGTCCACACAGGTACAGCGTTGGCTATGGCGACAGCTCTGGGGAGGCTGTGGGTTGGGGGAGCATGTGGGTGTTTATGGCTGGGTTTGTGCCTGTTGCATCATCCTTTACTCTGTGTCACAAGCTGTCCCTGATGGGAAGAGCAAGGTGCTTTACTTAGCACTGCCAGGGAGCCCTTGGACAGAGCACCAAATCTGGGAATGGGGGAAATACCTGCCCTTGCAGCAGGGGTGGAACTCGACCTCCTTTGCTGTAAAGCACTGGCCACCACTGTTTTTAAAGGTGTTGTGCAAAATTCATAACTGGGAGCAAATGCATGGCCTCCAGGTAACTTTGTGGTAGACTTAAGCCAAAAAAAAAGAAATAGAAGAACATTTAGGGAGAAGTCTGAGATTTATTTTTACATCCTGGAAATCCAGGTCACATCTAGCTTGGCATAAACTCTGCTGATGGGAAAATCCATGAATGGATGGACTCTGTGAATCAGCACAATGAGAGCTGAGAAAGGAAGAGGATATTAAGGGTTTAGTAATTTGCTGACAAACCTAGGGCTTATTTTATTTCATACTTTTAATGCTTAACATGTCAATAGCCAGGTCACAAGCTGGGGAAGCAAAGTCTGGGCTGACAGCTCTCTGCTGCTGCACTGAATTAGACCCAAATTCCTACAGTCCCAGCTGAGCTCTAGGAGGGCTGTGCAGGGGACTGAGACAACACAAGTACCAGGGCACTGTTCAAGGGTGCCTATTGACAGCTTGTAGGGAGATGCAGGTGCCAACTGCTGTCACAGGGTCAGGAGGAGCGATGCTGTTAATCCTTGCTGGCAGGGCTGCCTGACATCCTCTCTTGCCCTGAAGGCTGCAGCTCCCAATCCAAAAGACAAAAGCTGTCTCCTGAGCTCACCCTTCCCTGTCGACACCCTGCCCAATGCTGCTTGTCCACAGCCATCTCCAAAAGGGACAGGAGTCAGGGCTTGTGCTTCATGCCATGGGGTATGGCACCTGAAGGGACTGACCTCTGGGGAGCACCATGGATCCTGGGTGCTGAGCACAACTGTAGCTAATCCCTCACCCTTTCTTTTGGGCTCTGCAGGAGAGAAGCCGTACCGCTGCAACATCTGCGGGGCACAGTTCAACCGACCAGCCAACCTGAAAACCCACACACGCATCCACTCTGGGGAGAAACCCTACAAGTGTGAGACCTGTGGGGCCAGATTTGTCCAGGTGCGTGTAGCCTCTGGGACCCGCAGTGCCTGGGGAGGCGGGATGTGGTTAAATCTTCTGCCCAAGACTGGCAGATCTTCACCACCAAGACTGGTGTGATGCCTCATGGCAGGGAGGAGGGTGATGATGGGCCAACTTGCTGTCTTGGGCAGCTCTTCCCATGGTGTTGTGGGATCAATAGGGACCTTAAGGTCCAAGCGGGACAGTTTGGCTTAGCAAGGAAGCCTGATGGCTGGTTGTTGCTATTCTGCTCAGTTTTGTCTTAAGGAAGAGACAAAACTCAGACATGGCCCTGACTCCCAGCTATAACTCAACAGATCATAAAAGCAGTCTGGGCAGAACCCCATTCCCAAGGATTACCCCTGCTCCCAGTGGGATGCCATCCTCCCTGGGGCTGTTTCTGACCCAGAGCTGCTCTCTGCAGGTGGCCCACCTCCGTGCTCACGTGCTCATTCACACCGGGGAGAAGCCGTACCCCTGTGAGATCTGCGGCACACGCTTCCGGCACCTGCAGACCCTCAAAAGTCACCTTCGAATCCACACAGGAGAGAAACCGTATCATGTGAGTGGCCCTGCTTTTTTTGGTGGTGGAGAATCTCAGCTTGGGCTGGGGGACAATGCTGCTAAGCCTGAGGGGCTGTGAAGACAAAAGGGCATTTTGCACAGGCTGGTTGCAGCATCCTAACTCCCTTTGCCAGCCTCATGAGGCCCTGCACCAAGGTCACATCCCTGCTTCTCGTGCCCCATTTCCCTCCCAGGCATTAGCTGATGCTGATGTGGTATTTTTTCAGGCGTGGCTGTATTGGAAATACTGACATGCAGCCCAAGCTGGGTACATCTTAGTTGCTCTTTTCTTCCACTCCATCTGGAAGAAGGTCACACTTCTTCAAATAGCTGTGGCTTAAATTACAGCTGCCTGTAGTGTGTGGGGATGGGGAGGGGAGCAGACAGCCTGGCCTGAGCTCCCCTCTGATAGTGATAATCGCACCCAGCAAGCAGTCTGCCCTGCCTTGCTTGCAGCCCTGTGGGCTCCCAGCTCTTTGCTGGGGCTTTCCTGGCTTTCACCATCTGCTAGAAAGGGAATCCAAGAAGGGGGTTGACATGCAAACATCCTGGAGCCATCCAGCTTGGCAGAGGTCAAAAGCAGCTCCAGAAATAACTCCGTAGCTGTTTTGATCACCTAGATATGGAGCTTGATGCTGTGTCTGTCAGAGCCAGAGTCATGTCCTGAGGGACTTTGCCCTTTGTGCATCCCAATATATGCTGCTGAAAGCCTGGGATGGGGTGCCCCAGGTGCTGCTCCTCCCACCATGTTCCCACTTTTCCCTCGTCCAGCTGTATAGTGGGTGCAGTGTCCTGGGGCTGCTGGTGGAGCGTGCCCTGAGGGGAAGACATGGCATTTGACACCCTCCCTCTTTGCCTGTCGCCCCACAGTGTGAGAAGTGCAACCTGCATTTCCGCCACAAAAGCCAGCTGCGGCTCCACCTGCGGCAGAAGCACGGGGCCATCACCAACACCAAGGTGCAGTACCGCATCTCGGGCAGCGAGGTGCCTCCGGAGCTCCCCAAGGCCTGCTGAAGGCACAGGATTTCCCAGGAGGAGGTCGGCTTGGGGGGCATGGCAGGGAGAAGCTGTCCAAAGGATACTTGCAACACTTTAAAAGAGGAATACAAAAAAAACAAAAAAAAAAAAAAAAAAAAAAAAAAAAAAAAAAAAAAAAATAAAAAAAAAAAAAAAAAAAAAAAAAAAAAAAAAAAAAAAAAAAAAAAGAAGAGAGAAAAAAATATTCATCACATGATGGAGTGCCTCTAAACCCATAGTACAGATAGGTGGAAAAACATTAGAAATTTAAAAAAAAAAAATTACAAATACACGGGTTTTATTTTTCCCAGTTATGTGAAACAAAAAGAAAAAATATTCAGATCTTACTGTATATAAAACATAAAATTTAAAATAGTCATTTTAAATGTCTGTGCAGTGGAGTGTTGATAAACTCTGGAGTCTAACCTTCACAGCCTTTGCCGTTTGAAGATGAGGAATGTAATGTTGATTCATGGGAACAGATTTTTTTCTTTTGTATGCAAAATGTGTGTTCTTTTAAAGAGAAAGTATGCTATTAAAGAGAGGGCTTTAACTTTTTTAACCAAAGGTGAAGGAATCTATGGCAGAGTTGTAAATATATATAGATATAAATATATAAATATATATATAAAATAAATATATATAGACCTTTAAAAAAGCTATATTAAAAATATATAAAATGCATTAAAGGCTCAGTTGGACTCTGCAGGCAGAAGCCACTCTGAGAATCTTTATTATGATAGAGCACTTAAGGAGATATTTTAAAGTATTGCATCTGTACAAGTAAGAAAATATTTTGTCTAAATGCATCAGTGTATTTGTATTTTTTTGCAAGTGAAGGTTTACAATTTACAAAACAGTGTGTATTAAACCAACAAAGCTGCAGAAGGAATTTAAAATAATAATAAAGTGTAATTTTTTTGTTCTAGTTCTCAGTCTGTATATATGTAAAATGTGGTTTCGCACGGTGCCTTTCTTTTCAATGGAAGTTTTCAGTGTATGGACTATATTGAGCTCAGTTTTTTCAAGGTACAGCCTGATGTTGCAAAAGGAGTTTTGGTGGAACTCTTAAGTGGGGGAATGTTTCATTTTTTTTGTTTTGGATTTTTTTTTTGTCTTACTTTACATGCTTGTGTTATAAACAATCTCGGGAGACAGGGTTTGGGCTGTGTCTAAACTGCATTAATGCGTTCTGTAAAATATAGCTGTACAAATAAAAGAATAAAATGAAGAAAAGTGATGTATGATGGAGTGAGAGGTCTGTTCTTGCCTGTCTTCCTCCTTAAGCACCTTGAAGCCTGGCTGGTGCCTGGGGAAGGGGCTGAGCATCCCGAGTCCTGGTGTGAACTCTTGGCTCTGTGGCTCTGGCCCTGTATTGAAGGCAGGGCCTCTTTCAGCCTTGAGTGAAGGTGGTCTCTGGCTGGAGCAAGACTCGAGTTTGCTCTGGATCCTGGTGGGGACTGTGCCACCCCCTTGCTACTTTCTGCATTGGCACCGAGTAGCCAGCAGGAACAGGGCAGAGCCTGGGAGAAACCTTTGCTAACCAGCCCAGGGCCGGTTCCAGATGGCTGAGCAGTTATTTATATTTCCTGGAATCCAGTGCACTTGCCAGAATTGCTCAGGGAAGATGACTGCCTGCTGCTCTTCTCAGAGCCTGGGCTGGGGGGGCTGCTGTTCTGCCTGTCCTGGGGGATGATCCAGGGCATCAGGGTCTGTAAGCCCATCCAGGCCCTCACTGGCCAAGAGCATCTCTGTTTCCAGCCATTGCATGCTGGCTTTGGGTCAGAGCTGAGATAGCCCAGCCTGAGGGAACCCCTGGGCTCGCCCTGGTGGGGAGAGGAGCTGCTCTGCCCTGTTTGGGTGGCTGTGCTATGCTGCGAGAAGCTCTGGGTGCCCGAGCCCTGTGCTGCTCTGCTGGAAACCAAAAAGCCTCAGGCAAAAAGTTTCTCTGAATTACACAGAGTGGACTGGCTGGAACCAGCGCTGGTGTGGAGCCCGGCCACAGCTCAGCATGGCCCGGGGTGGGGTCTGAGTTTCATTTTGAGTTTAGTCAATTCATGGATAACTTTGTCTTGGGGCTTGCCAGATGATTCACAGTGGGGGCACTTGGAAGCACCAGCAGGAAGGGGAGGGCCTGGCTGTGTGCAGGGTCAGGAGGGGCTGCGCTTAGGAGGAGGTGGAGATGAAGATAAGGATGTGTTTTTCAACACACCACGAGACAGAGCCTGATGTGAGGTAACCAAAGCAGCTTTCCATAGGAAGAAAATGCCAAGAAGAGGGGGAGCCAGTTTGCTGTTTTGCAGCATCTTTGCCGCTCTGACTTGGCCTTCTGATGGTCACAGCAGGCTGAGACTATTACTGCTGACATCATCTGAACATTTTTAGGACCAGGAGCTGTGAAGATGCTTTTGGGCCCCATAAGTGGGATCATGATGACTGATAACAGCAACGCTATTCTTAGAGAAGTTTCTCCCAAGGGATTTTCTGGCTTAGCATAGCCTCTGGATCTGGACAGGTTGCTCACCTGGACAGAGTGGCTGGTCCTCATCTTCGTGAGCTTGCGGCTTTTAGGTCTGCTGTTCTTCCTGACCATGTCTTTGAGCTCTTGCTTTTTGTGCTCATCTAAAGACAATGTAATTGCCTTTTCCTGTTTGCCTCTAAATAAACACATTGTTTTAGGATGAAAGTTAAAAAGTTTAACTTCTACTCTGGTCTTGTGAGGCCCCTCCCTGGAGTACTGTGTCCGGCTCTGTGGCCCCCAATGCAAGGAGGACCTGTTGGAACGAGTCCAGAGGAGAGCCACTAAGCTGGTTGCAGGGTTGGAACAAGTTTCAAGTGGGGACAGGCTGAGAGAACTGGGGCTGTTCATCTTGGAGAAGGTTCCAGGGAGAGGAGACCTTAGAGCACCTTACAGTACCTAAAGGGAGCCCACAAAAGAGTTGGAGAGGGACTTTTTACCAGGACATACAGTGGTAGCTCAAGGGGGAATGGCCTTAAGCTGAAGGAAGGTAACTTTAGACTGACTATTAGGAAAGCATTCTTACCCATAGTGGTGGTGAGGCACTGGAACGGGTTGCCCAGAGAAGCTATGGATGTCAAATCCCTTAGGTGCTCAAGCCAGGCTGGATGAGGCCTTGAGTAACTGTAATCAGTGGAAGGTGTCTCAGCCCACGGTGTCTCAGGGGGTTGTAACAAGATGATCTTTAACATCCCATCCAACTCAAGCCATTCTATGATTTTGTGACCCCCAGCTCCTCTGGCTTGTCTCCCAGCAGCCCAGACCTGCTGGCATGTGAAGAAACCTCACAAAAAGGCAAGAAGCGCAACGAGCTGGAGCCAGCCTTTCTCTCCTCCTGTTTGATTTGGCCAGGCAGGATGGCTGCCTGGCAGCCTGCAGGGCAGGCATTTCATGAAGTGAGGTCTTCCCAAGCATCCTTCTGGGCAAGAGCCTATTTTTCACCCCAAAGGCTGAGGCCAGCATGAGCCCTCACCAACTTACTTGCGTTAGACACAGGGTGGTGGAAAAATGACCACAAATGGATCATTGCCTGAGTGTTGACAATAGCAAACTCTTGCTTTCCCACCTTATTCCCTCACTTGCTTTCTCTTTCTACCTTTCTCAGGTGGGTTTTCAATGTTTAGTAAAGCTGGCTGTCCTCACAACAGGGTTTTGACACACTGCTCTCATTTGACACACATATTTAGGTTTGTCCCTTCCCTGTCAGGACCTGCTTGCCTTTGAGCTCACCGCCTCTCTGGTTACTGCAGTTGTCACTTTTGAAAGCAGCTGGGCTGGACTGACAGCTCCACTTGTCCCAGAAAAGCAGCTGTGTAGCCACGACCTCTATTTCCTATTGACTTGCTCAGCTGCACTTGCAAAATAAACACTGTATTTTCCCGGAGCACGGTTTCCTCCTCCTGACGGATTTGATTTTTTTTTTTTTTAAACAGTGATGTCATGGCTTTTCCGGGCAGTTCAGCTGAGGCGATCGCCATCCGTGGTGCGAGGCCTGCAATGTGGCACGGATGGAGTTTGGAGAGGCGAGGGGGCCGTCACACACGGAGCTTTGTGCCTGCTGCATAGCCAGGCACACCGAACCGCGGGCAGTGCCCGTGGCCCCTGTCCGGGCTGTTCGGCCCTGGGGAGCACGGCCGCAGAGACACGCTGGCATTAGGGACAGGGTCACCCCCGAGCCGGTGGGACGGCTGGCTGCCCGGAAGGGCCAGCATGGAAAGGGGGATGCGAACTCCGGGCAGTGAGCAGGACTATGGGGAGGGATGCTTTATTTCTTTTGGCAGCGCTGATGGACGACCCCGGGGCCGGGCCGGGCCGGGCCGGGCGCTGCATTCTGCCGAGCCTCCACAAGAGGGCAGTAGAAGACGGAGTTTAGCGCGCTCCTGGAATTCCGGAGTCGTTTGGGTTGGAAGGGCCTTTAAAGCTCATCCAATTCCAGCCCTGGACAGGGATATTTTTCACAAGATCGAGTTGCTTAAAGCCTCATCCAGCCTGCTCTTCCAGGTTTGGAGCATCCGCAGCTTCTCTAGGTTACCCATTCCTCACCACCCTCACAGTAAAGAATTACTTCCTTATATCTAACCTAAATTGTCCCTATTTCAGTTTAAAGCCATTCCCCTCTGTCCTGTCCCTGCATATCCTTGTAAAAAGTCCATCGCTGACTTTCCATAATCCTGTTTAGGTACTGGAAGGTGCTGTAAGGTCTCCCCAGAGCTTTTTCCAGGCTGAACAAAGATGGTATTAATAGAGGACAGTTATATACAGAGATAAAACAGAGATAATTATTTATTGATTTTATGTGCTCATCCATCTGTACCCATCATCTCTTTCCTTATGCTAATAAATACTCACAGCTCAGGCCAGCATCTCTCTCTGTATGGTCCCAAACATGGCCCTGACTCCTGGCAGCCACTGCAATAGTACAGGTAAATACTCTGGTATTTAACTTTCATGTTATACCTGGTATATAACTCTTAGCTCAGCCTATTCAGCTTTGTTTCTGCAAGTGTTTGTGCTGGCCTTTCCCTTGTCTTTACCATATCTTTCTCTTCCCCTTTCTCTTCCCTCTCCCTTTCCCTTTTCCCTT